CTGAGGCCTCTTCCAGCCTTTGTCCCCGCTGCACCACCTGCCTGGCATGTCCCCCTACTTGCAGGAGGTGGGAACCTGGGCATCTCAAGCCCTGCTTTCAGCCCCTCCAGACTCAGCCGATCAGGGGCTGCAGCACCCGGTTTGCAGCTGGGGAAGCTGAGTCTGTTCTCCCTCCTGCTGGAACTGGCTCCATCTCACACCGTGTGTGGGGCTTTGGCAATTGCTTTCCTTTCTCTTGGCCTCAGCTTGCTGGTCTGTAAAGTGGGCACAAGAATCACATCCAGCTTCAGTGGTCATTCCAGATGATTCCATCCTCATTCCTGGTGGCTGAGCCAAGAAGAGGGGGGAGGGCTTCCAGCACCCCAGACACCCCCCTCCCCATCTCGGAGTCTGCCCCTCTCCTCTGCCTCCCTGTCTGCATGGCGGGAGCACAGAATCACTGAACCTGGGCAGGGTCCTGGGGCTGTCCCAGCCAGGTCTTGTGGCTTGGAAGGGGGGCCCGGTTTGGGGAGGGGCGACCCAGGGTCGCCCTGGGCATGTTCCAGAGCTCACAGGGCTGTGCACACGCCATTCCAGACCTGGTCTCCCTCACCACATGCATCTCTGTGGGAGCCTGTGGTGTGTCCCCCCCCCCCACCCAGACCCCTCCCGGACTCCCTGTCCACTCTCTGTGCATCTCCCAGATCCCGGGCTGCTGTGGGGCCCCCCTGAAGATGAGAAGAAGTGCGTGTGGGGAGTGGTTAAGCAAGGTGGCCTCAGGGTGCAGGCTCTGTGAATGCACACCGAGGGTCTCCATAGGGAGCGGTTGATAAGAAAACCTCCACAAGCCCCTACTAGGTGGCATCTTATTTGGTCCATTTCTCAGATGAGGAAACTGAGCCTCAGACCCTCACTCCTCACCCCACCAGTCAGTGAGGGAGCCCAGGTTAGGCCCAGGTTGTCAGGTCCCCTGCTGGGATGTCTTGGGGGGATCTGGAAGATGTGAGGGCCCCTTGCAGCTCAAGGTGAGGTTTTTACAGAGCTGCAGGGGTCCTTGCGCGGGTGCTTACAGAAGCTGCACGGCCAGCCCTCTCAGTGGGACTTGGTTGGACCTCATGGCCTGGGTCCCTTCATGCTCAGACACCCCCGCCCCCCCCCCCCGTCTGGGATGGTGGCTACAGAGTGGGGGCAGAGGCTGGGGGCAGGCAGTGCCTGCCTCACCCTGGGTGGAAGAGCTGGTTTGCCTTTTCCTGTCCTTTACTGTCCCCTCCAGACCCCCAGCCTGGCCGCCTGCATCTTGGTTACAGAAATGGTCCCCTCCTTGCCTCAGTTTCCCCATGCTGGTTTCCACCACCCCTCAGGGTTTTGGGCACGCGACTCACCAGTGAGGCAAGAAGGAGGACAATTGCCTCCATCTGATATTTATTATATATATATTTTTCTGATCAGTTACAAAAAATACTTTTCCTCCAGAGCTGCAATTTAAACAATATTTGAAGACGGCCAAAGCTATCGACCAGCGGCAGTGATGAATTAGAGATGGTAATTCGAATTCATCGACCACCCCGCCCCAGCCGAGAGTCCCCCCGCCCCTCCCCCAGCCCCTCTCCCAGAATTCCTGTTTGAGCTAGAGCCAGAGAGGGTTCCAGGAGGAGGCAGCTAGCAAGTCATCGCACTCCCAGGACCTTGGAATGGGATGGGAAGCTGAATCCCCCAGTGGCGGCGGGGTTATGGGGCTGCAGAATGGGCCTTGCCCAGACTAGCAGGTCCCAGAATCTCAGAATGTTAGACCCAGAACCTGGCTCCCGCCCCCCCCATTTTACAGATGGGTAAACTGAGGCACGGAGAGCCGACAGGGACCGGGCAGTGGGGTGGATCTATTTCTCAGGCACTTCAGAGAAACAAAGACACCATCCCTTTCCCCCTGGGCCCCAGATGTGGGAAGGAGAGAGGTGGGGAGCTGGGGAGGTGGGTGGGGAGAGACCCAGGCTGAGGGCCCCACCCGGCTGCCCTCTGGGACTCTCTCGGCTCTTTGCAGTGCTTCCCTTCTCTGCCTCTGTCTCTCTGCCGCTCTCTCTTTGTCTCTCTGTGTTTCTGCTTTGGTTTCTCTTTCTGTTCCTCCCTCTTTGTTTCTGTCTGTTTCTCTGTCTCAGGTTTTGTCTTTTCCTTTCTCCCTGTTTTTGTCACTCGGTCTCTCCCTATCTCTGCCTCTCCGTGTCCATCTCTCTGCGTGTGTCCTCCCGTCTCCTGGCCCCAGCGCCCGCGGTCACCCGGGTGGTCCCGCCGGGAGCAGCGAGCGGAGAGGCCGGAGGCAGGCGAGCGCGGGCGGGACCGGGGCGCAGCGCCCGTCGAGGGGTGAGCAAGAGCGGGGCGGCGAGTCCTGCCGCGGGGGGCTGGGGGGGCGGGGAGCGGCGACCGGGGGCCCCTGCGGGCGCTCCAGGCGGCGCGTGCGGGGCGCAGCGTTTGGGAGGGGGACGCGCCCCGTTGCCTCCCCCTAACCGCCGCGATTTGCCGCCACTTAACCGCTTTTCATTTGCGCAGCGACCGGAACTAAAGGCCTCTGAGCCGGCGGGCGCCTAATTAGCCCTCGCGCTCGGCCGGCCGGCCACCTCTGACTCCCAGGCCGAGCCCCGTGATGGAGACGTGGCCCGGAGCGCGCGCGAGTTGCGGGGGGCGCCCAGGGCCGGGCGCGCGGAGCAGGCAGGTCGGTGGGGTCACCGTGTGGGCAGCGGCCGGGAGGAGCAGAGGACAGGCGGCCGGTCCCGAGGCGTTATCCCCAGCACCCCAGCGCCCTGCCCGAGGCGCGACCCCTGCGCTCACCCCTCCTTGTCCCCCCTGTGCTCCTGAGACCGCCGCCGTTCGGACGTTCATTTTCCGAAAGGGGAAATCGAGGCGCATGGAGGTGAGACTGCTCGCCGGAGCCACAGAGGCCGGGGAGGCCCTGCTGGGATGCAAATGAGGTCTTAGTTTCCCCTCTTGCAGTTCTACTGGCAGCGGGAAGGGACGCCCCAAGTGCTCGAGCCGCAGGCCCCGCCCGGCGCTCCCGGGATTCCTCGGCTTCGGTCTGTCGTTCCGCCCGCCCTGGCCGACCTTTGGCAGGGGGACCCTGAGATGTGCGGCTGAATACGTGAACGGGCCCTTTAGTCCCTTTAGTCCCTTTAGTCCCTTAAGGTGACGGTGAGAAAAATGGAAAGTGACGTGTGTTCTTTCGGGTGAGCCCAAGTCAGACACCATGTCCCCTGAAATACATGCGCTGGGGAGGAGGCAGAAGGTGGATGCTATGGTCCAATGGTCCACGTGCTACGCCACGTGTCGGTCGCCACTTCGTGTCTGACACCTTGGAGCGACGGCCGTGGCCAGAGCGTAGGGGGTGTGCTTTTCGGCGCTACCTGATGTCACCTATATTGCGCGGAGCAGGCTGTGGCTGCGTGTTGGTATGACTGAGGGGCCCCTGTGAGCACGCCCCCGTCACTGCGCGTGAGATGGGGAGCAGGACGGAACAGGGTTTGCCCTCACACAAGACCTGTCTAGGTTCCTAACACCATTTCTCGCATGTCACACTGGGTCACCTGCCACATAGAAAGGAAAATTTATTTTCCTGTTCCCTAAAGGGGAGAATTTAAGAAGTCTATAGGAGGCTCAGCTAATCGCCTCACTCTGCAGAAGGGGAAACTGAGGCCATGTGTGAGTGCAGACTCTCCCCCCCCCCCGTTGTCGGGTATGCCTGGGGGAGACCCCTCTCCATCCCTCAACGATGCCCCTTCTCCCCAGCCCCCCCCCCCGTGGACTCCAGGCTCAAATCTTTCCCTGCCTCTGTGCTCCAGGGGCACCTAGTTTGAGAGACAGCCACTCCAGCTCCACTTGCCCCTGTGTGCAGAGAAGCGATCGATCGGGCGACGGAGCCGGCTATTGTCCCCACGGCTGGGGCAGCCGCAGCCCCCTCCCCCTGCGGCCAGGGAAAGACACCCCCCTCCTGGTGAGGCCCATCATGGGACAGTGGCAGGGGCTCTCCTGCACCCCACAGGCACCCAGGAGAAGGGGGCCTGGCCAGGCCCCCTAGCTGGGGGCAGGTGTGGACCCAGCTGTTGTCAGCTGGGATGGGGGTAGGGAGCATGGTCCCCAGGGGGCCGGGGGCTGAGAGCCAGAGAGAGAGAGACGGAGAGAGCTACGGAGAGTAGGAGAAAGAATGAGGAACAGGAGCAGAACCAGAGCAAGCAAAAAATAAATAGACACCAGTCTGTCCCGACAGACAGAGGTAGAAATGAGGGAAACACAAAACGGAAAAGCCAGGCCGCCAGGAGCGCGCGCGCCCGGGCCAGAAGCAACCGCGCAGGGCGGGATGCCGGCCGGGGTGTGAAGGCCTCCGGGCCGCGCGGGCGAGGGTCCCCCGGGCCGCCCCTCCCCCGCCCGTTCTCGGGTGACCTTTGCCAGCGGCCGGAGAGGGGGAGGGGGCTATCGATCGCTGAGGCCGAGCTACAAAGAAGCGCGCGCTGGGGCCGAGGGCTAAGCGCGGGCCCGACCCTGGCCGCCTCGTTGCGGGCGCGGGGTGCACGGTCCCGGCGCTCTGCCCAGAGCTGGGAGCGCAGCCGGGGGCTTTTCGGGAGGAGAGGAGCGGCTCCCTGAGCGGACAGCAGCGGCGCGTCTGGGGCACAGCACCTCCCCCCGTCGCCCCCCCGCAACACACACACAATGAGCGACCTTGCAGGTTGCTTCGAGGATCCTCCCCACAGTGTGAAAGGAGCCAGGGATCCCTCCCCGTTCCCGGAGGGGCCGGGCGGGCTGCTAAGGGGAGTTGGGGGGGGTGGGAAGGCGCCACAATCCCTTTCTCCCTTTCGGCCACAGTACAGACGGGAAGGGGCGCAGATCACACTCCAGCCTCCTGCCAGGGAGTCCTGAGCCAGCCGGCGGGGCGCACGGCCCCGGCCTGAGAAGGGGCTGGGGTGCCCCGCGGCCGCCCTGCTTGGTGCTGGGGAGCCCCGAGCCGTAGCCCCGGGGTCAGGCGGTGTGCGCCGCGCTCCTACCTGCTAGGCGCAGCGCCGACATGCGCTGGAACTCGGGTTCCTGCAGCCACTTCCACATCCTGCGGAAGGTCTCCCGGCCCGACTTGAGCTTGCTCCACGGCTTGGGGTTGCGCAGCAGGTCGGAGAGCGTGCCCTGGGAGCGGCACAGGATGCGCTGCGCGAAAATGGCCTGCGGGATGCTGTAGCGCTTCAGCTCGGCAGTGATGCGCTGCGCCACCTCCTTGGTGTTGATCTCCTCGGCCGCCGCGCCCGCCCCGGGG